TTTGTCAGATCGTTGTTTGACCTCCCACAAACACCGAAGGTGTTGGGAGAGCGGTGTAGGATTCGAGTTTCTCGAAAGTTCAAGGAACAGTTCAAAGAAGCACGGTTCGCTGTGCAAGCTACTTCATCCTCTGGTTCGGGATCGCGCCAAGCATCAACGCTCGTGGTACTGCTGTTGTTGTTGTTGTTGTTGTTGTTGTTGTTGTTGTTGTTGTTGTTGTTGTTGTTTCAGTTGTTGTTGTTTCAGTTGTTGTTTAAGTTGTTGCTGCTGCTGTTGCTGCTGTCACCTTAATCTACTTTTCCGTGCGATGTTCCGCTTCTCAATGCGATGCTGCGTGCCATGCCTGCCTTGTAGGGTGAGCTGCGGGCGCAAGGCAACACGGACGAGAGGCTGCGACGCGCTTGCCAAGTCCACGATGACCTAGGGGAGCAGTCGTACGCGTCGCTTTCTCACCTCTTTGAGGGCAACGTTGCCACGCGGGACGGTGCCCGCGACCAGTCTGGCCTTGACCCGCATCGACGCCAAGCAAGGCAAACGACGCAAGGCGAGGTTGATGTTCCGGACGTGCTTCAGTTGATGCTAAACAACGTCCTGGAACAGGAAAAGGCCCAGACCAGCGCACGGGAACAGTTTGCAGCCCTCATCGCCTCACAGACGAAGGCAATCGAGGAGCAGACCAAGACCAACAAGGAGCAGGCCCAGACCAACAAGGAGCTCAGGTGTGGCGAGGGCTCTTGCAGGGCAACAAACACACTCTCGTTCGCGCACTCTCACTCACACACACACACACACACTTACGCGAATGCACTCGCACGCACAGTCACACACTCACACGCACACACTCATGCACGCGCACACGCACACACTCATGCACGCACACACTCATGCACGCACGCACTCATGCACACGCACGCACTCATGCACGCACGCACTCATTCACGCACGCACTCATTCACGCACACACACACACACACTCACTCATTCACGCACACACACTCACACGCACACACTCATGCACGCACGCACTCATTCACGCACACACACACACTCACACTCACACGCACACTCACACGCACACACTCATGCACGCATTCATGCACGCACGCACACACACACACACACTCTCATGCACGCGCGCACACACACACACTCTCACACGTACGCACACACACACACGCACACACACACACTCATGCACGCGCACACGCACACACTCATGCACGCACACACTCATGCACGCACTCATACACTCACACTCACACTCACACGCACACACTCATGCACGCGCACACGCACACACTCATGCACGCACACACTCATGCACGCGCGCACACACACACTTTCACACGTACGCACACACACACGCACTCATGCACGCTCGCGCCCCAGGGACTGCATTGGGACCCTCGTGGCTGCCGTGCGGAGCTTGCGTCGCCGGCAGGACAAGAAGTCGTCTTAACACCACTCTTTCTGTCTCTGCTTCCATATTCAACCTGGTTTGACTATGTCTGTTGTGTCTCTGAGTTGGCATTGTATTTGTTGCTGTGTACGACGGAGCGTAATAGAACGAACTACCCGCCAAAGCATGCACTCATGTAACAACGCCCGCACGCACATCTACACACGCAACCTTGCATACACACTGCGTCCACGTCGACGCATACACGCGCGCACACGCACACACGCACACACGCACACACGCACACACACCAGCACTGGCGCAATCACGACAGCTGCAAGGTGTGTGGGCGTTTGGCGGCGTGGTTCCCCGCTTGTTGTCTCGGTTGCTGTTGTTGTGGCCGTCGTTGCGCCGCGATGGCAAGCATGAATGGAAGCAATGAGCGCCTGACCCTGAAACGGTATGGTCGTTGTGCCTCGGGTTCCTCTTGTCTCTCGCGGTAGTTCTGCACGGCCTTTTTCTTGAGGTCGTCTTGCCACTTCAACGCGCGCCGTCGGGCAACCTTGGCTGAGGTCTCCTTGCCTCGGCTTCTGCTGCTGCCATTCGCCGCGCTGCTGTGCGATTCGTCGTCGTCGTCGTCATCATCATCATCATCATCATCATCATCATCGTCGTCGTCGTCATCATCATCGTCGTCGTCGTCGTCATCATCATCGTCACCGTCGTCACCACAACCCGCTTCCTGTTGAGCCTTTGACAACCTCTCCCTGCGGTGGCGCTTGCGTGCCTCCTTTGCTTGCGTCTCATCCTGATACAGCTGTTCAACAAGTCCGCTCCGTCGTCTTCTGGCGAAGTAGAAGTATGCATGCGCACACGCGACATGTACAGC